CACCATATAAGTTGTTGGGCCCTTTACATAATTCTCATTGCCTTTCGGAGACTTGAAATGAAGCAAATTAAACGCTCCACACCCAGATTCAAAACGAATTTCAGAAGATCCTTCTTCGGTTAGAGGAATAAGTTGGTTTGGGGACATATATCCGATAGGTAGTTTGGTTTCCCGTAATTTGACCTTTGTATCTTTAATCAAGTACTTATCATCATTAATATTTTGTACACTAGTGTACAAATTGTATAAACTTGTAGGACAAGTGCTGCTTCCAATAAGTGACATAGCTCCACCGAGTGGGATGGTAAGCAAACTAAAGAGAAATTCGGCAAAATCATCCTCCGCTAGCGCAAACAGTAACTTTTGGGTAGATTTTTGTATTATGACTTTCAGTATCATCATCTTATCAGAGTTGGAAGCAGCTGCTTTCTCAGTCTTCGGTAAGAAAACTCCAGGTTTAAACTTCATAAAGTCAAAGTTTCTTTTACCTTTGCCGATTATGATATCGGTCAAGGGAGTCCGTGAAACGAGCATGCCTTTCAGCAAATCTACAATCTAATTCAAAAAACAAAGACAACAGTAACGAAATCAAATGCAACATGTAATTTCATATTTAGCAACAACAAAAAAAGGCAAGCAGCTTAATATACAAGGATTCATATTAAGATCAATCGAAGAGCTTTGAATTTTATTTATAATTTTATATTTTGAGAAAGAATCGACCATAAATACACACATAATGTAAGGCAGCTTATTACAATAGAATCAGGACTCACCTCATTATGTCCAAACGTCATATTCCTCATCTCGGCCCCTTTGATGTCCCTAATACCAAGTTCAGCTAGAGCCCCAAAGAAGGACCCTGCCAGCGCCATCCGCATATCATCACTAATTATAAAGGAAGCACCTTTCGTGCAAAAAGCTCCATCATCGCCATCTTCAGCAGTCTCAGACGATATAATTTTTGCTTCTCTGCTCATAATTTTCCCACAATCACATCTAACAGTATCATAGTACATGGTGATATTGTGCTTCCCACTCACCGGCCAATCGCATGTGAAGTACTTGGTGGGCTCAGAATCACTAAGATTCAGCTTCATCTGACGGCATTCTTTAAAAAAAACACTTCTCGGGTTTAGCAGCATTTGTTTGCCTGTCTCTGTATGAAAATGGACAACATCAAGATTGACAAGACCATTGTACAAAGAGGTCAAGCTCCCGACTCTGGGTTTGTCGTCTCCATAGTGTTCCGCGATGATTTTAGCGATCTTTCCCAATGGCAGTGTTAGGAAGCTCAACAAAACGTCGAAAAAATCGCTGTCGGCCTCTGCAAAGAGGACCTTAG